ACTATTGCTTTCTGCCCTGGTTTTCACTGTCCCCCTGGAACAGCGGGAGCCCTCGGGTCTCATCTCCGCTGTCTGGCAGCCTGGGCCTGCATCTGCAGCCACTCTGGGCTCTCAAAGGACCTTTGGGACAGTCTGAGCCTCTCCCCACGTCCCACACTGCCACGCTGGGGTCCAACTTTCCCATCCAAAATTCATTAAATTAATGCAAAACCTGTAAATAAGCAAGATGCAGCTCCAGCATCCGCAGCACTCTGGGTCCTGTGCTTGGTAGGTGGCCCATATAAAAATAACACCTATATAAAAATAACACCCATATAAAAACAACACCCATCTGGCCCTCAGGCGTTGAGTGCGTTTAACACCATCAACTCACTGAGCTACCTGGGTCTCCCGGCTGTATTGTGGCTGCTGCCATGTCCCTCCGGCGCTGGTTTGGTCCAGCATCACCTGGAATGGCAGCACCAGATCCCACCACAGCCCAGCTCCCCGATGGGCATCACCCCATCGGCACCAAAACCCCTTTGCAAAGGGGCTGTGACCCTCAAAAGCCCCTTTTCTGCGGGTGACCCAACACACGTTGGTACAACAAAGCCCTTTTTATTGGTCCTCTTTTTCTTTTCCCTTTCATTCTTCTCTCTTTCCATCGCAGCTTTAAACGAGGCCGTGAGTAAAACATGGATCAATTTGGAACGGAAAGTTCCTGTAAATAATAGTTACACCTCGGGGTGTTTCCTCTCGCAGTAGCTGTGAAGAAAAGGCGGGTATGTCTAGGGTTTGACTTGAAATATACTTCCACTGGCCAGGGCTGCAGAGCTGGGTTCTCACCCATATTAACATTTATTGTGGTTTTGTTTAGGCTTTTCCTTTTTTCTTTTTCTTTTTTCCCTCTTTCTTTTCTTCTCTTTTCCATGCAAACACCACTATGGGTTACACTTAGGGAGATGCTGCTCAAGAAAGGCAGAGCATCAGCTCCAACACGTCCACCCCGAGCCCCGATGGATGGGGACGGCGTTGGCATCGTCCCGGCACGTCACTGCTGCTGCCTTTGCTGGGCTCATGATTCATCACGTTTGCGTTGAGTGGCTCCTCGGCAGCCCCTCAGCCTACAGCACATTGGCATCGGGCGCTATTCGAGGCTGGGATATATTTTTTTTAATTATATTTTGCTTTTCAGCTCTCATTTGGGTTCTGGAGGCAAGTGGTGAGTGCTAAGGGGTTTGGGCTTGGACAGCCTGGGAATTTGGGTCTTGGTTAGGGTTTGTCCTGGAGGTTTTGTGTCTTGGGAAGCGGTGCAGTGATGACAAGTGGAGGTGGGGGTGTGGGGTGCTTGGCTGGGGATGCAGGATCACCTGCCAGGTCTAGCTTAGTGCAGTGTGAGTGGTCCAGATCCACCTTGGAGAAGATTAAAGGGGTTTTTTCAGAGCTCACAACCCTGGGTTCTCCCCACCAACCCACCACCTCCACCCCTGTGAAGGCACATGCCTGCCCTCCTCCTCAGACACTTCGTAATGCCAGCACGAGCCAAACTGCAGTTGAAAGCAGCTGTGATGTCCCCAGTGACACCAGAGCTGGGCACCAGGATGCTCAGAGAGTTGCTGAAATAGGTTGCCCAAGGAAGCTGTGGATGCCCCCTCCCTGGAAGTGTTGAAGGCCAGGCTGGATG